GAACATGGCAAATTTTATTTACTATTGATGCAATCTAAATTGAAAAAGTCTGCATAAGCAATAGGTCAATGTACATCAAAAGTGTTAGTGTTTTCCAACCCTTTGAGATGGTAGAGTTAGTTCTAAAAATCCATAACAGTAAAATAAATAATGATTTATGAACAAGGTTTTTCTTTACAGTATTATTTATGAAAGCAAAAAATTTTACAAAAGAAGTAAATGAGCAACAATATAATATTAGTTCAATGAATTATTTTATGACATATAAAATATTTAATTTCAAATATACTATATTTTTAATTCTGAAAATTTTTACATTTAACCATTAGAGTTGTGTAACAAAATATATTTATGTATATTCATAAAATAATTGTTAAGAATTTCAAGCTTTTTTATTTTCAGTACTTTCAAAACCTCTACAAGTAGTGTAATTTTATTCTAAAAATAAAATACATTCTTCATTGAAAACAAAAATACAATCTTTCATGCTTTCTGTGGATGATTATCTGAAGCATACTGACAAAAGTAACAGATATATACTTGAATCACCATAAAATGTACAAATAAGTGTATCACTTTTATATAGTTTAGTGCAGTATAATATATGTTAAAAACAGTACTCTGTCAGCAAAAATCTGCTTGCCAAATTTAGGCTAAATAAATACAGAAATATATTAGTATGTCCAAATACAGGAAGTCACATTTTTAACAATTTTTTGAACAAGACCATTAATAAAAATTTTATTAGATGGTGGAGACATTATGAGATATGTAGTTCCACTCAAATGTAGTCAAACTGTAGTACAGAGTGATATAAAATTTAAAGTTCTGTGAAAATAAGCCAATGCCATTTTCAGTGACAAAGTAAAAATATATTTTGATGTGTTCTACTGAGACTGCTATTTTATTTTTGACAACAAAAGTTGGTAAGTTTTGAAAAAGTATATTGTAAAACTTGTGAAAAATATTTTATGGGCTTTGCTTTGAGAAATCATGTACTGTAATCATTAGGATCTCATTCTAGAGTATAATCTATATAACATGAAAAACATAGGGTGAGAATTTTACATTGTAATCATATTCACTTTTAAGTACAATTGATGTATTCTCTGTTTCTTAGTTTACTATTGTTAATACAAGAAGAAAAAACTGCAGAGACTGGTTCCTTCATCCTATGAAACAAGTTAACAATAGATTGCATGCAGAATTAATGCATTAAATTCTATAATGATTTCTATAGTCATCGTCGGATTCCAACTCTACTGAATATGAAAATATGGCAACAATTTAAGAGATCAAAAGGAATGATAACCTACAATGTCATAACTTATTTACAAAGACAGGGATCCAAATTGAGCTTATCATATAAATAATGTTGTGTATTAAGAGCATATAGAGGTTTAAGGGTAAGTAAAATTTGAGCTCTTAAATCTGTAGTGCTGTTCCCTTAAACAAAATGAGCTGATACTATTTAACCTTGGTAAGTTTCTCAGTATTCCTCAGTCTCACTTTTCACACTTACAAAATAGAACAATGTTTAGGGATGTTAAATAGCTGACTATATTAATGTTTTTGGATCATTGAACACAGCTGTTTGCAGTCTCTCTGTTTGAATGTCTACTTTGTATTCTTTGATACTGTGATTTGAGCAACTATTTCCAAGATGATAATATGTAATCTATTACCAGGTGATTTCTTACTGTTCTGGTTTTTTTTTTTTTTTTTTTTTTTTTTTTTTTTTTTTTTTTTTTTTTTTGTAGTTCTGTATTATGTGTAACCTTACACTGCTTTGTTTTGTTTTGTGTTTTTCTCTTTTTCCTCTTAAATAAAAAAAAAAAATAGAACAATGGTACCAAATTACTACGCAGGCATCAATTTTCAGTAGTTTCACCTTTGATAAAAGCTATTTTTAAAGAAAAAAGAAAAATGAATTTATATGCATATATTTCTCCAATAAGATACAACTTTTATAGTTAAGTATTAAAAACAACTTTTAAACTTCTTGTGATGACTAAATGAAGTAAAGAATAAAAATACATTAAGTTCATATTTCCCAAAATGTCTACTCTTTTATTTTAATGCACATATGGAAACATGAAAATTTGGTTTAGGAAAAACTCAATAATTAATAAGCCCATCTGTAATCAGAATGATTTTTGTGAGGTATACATCTTTCTGCTTTTATTTGAGAGAGACTCTTGTTTGAGGAAGTAGAACATTGAACATTTAGTTTTGCTACTGCAATCTTTCTTGGTCATAACCTGGAAATGAAACTATAGCCCTGAGCAAATATTATCAATTCTCATCATCATCTGGAGTGTCCTTTATCTATGGCTCTGAGATCATTTGTTATGAGAGGTAAAGCAATAGAAGACATTCACCTGAGCACAAATACATACAATAGAACCTTTTCAAGAAGAATTTATGCCCATCAAATGTTCCCCAAAGGCATTGAGATGTTGAGATCAAGCATGAATTCCAATCCATATGTTTTTAATGCCTGCTGAGAAATGTACTGCTGTAATTTAATAGTAAGTCTTTTGAATTTGATATGTGCATTTCTAGAAAGTTTTATTCCTCGAACATAAATTTATTATAAAAATAATTATTTTAAGAATTTCTTGAAGCTCATTATATATTTATTTTTAGTAGAGCTTTGCATCTGTTCTTTGCTCTCAATTTTTTAGTAGATCTCTCCATCTAGGTGATGAAGTCTTCATGTTTTCTTGGGTTTAGTTACTCATCTGAGCACTACCACACTGTTTTTCTTACACTGCAGAGATAAACTAATTTGCACAGTATTGATTAGAAACATTTTGTAATATATTTTTGTAGTAAAATTCTAACTATAAATGTTCTATGGCAAGTGAGTTTTGATAGGAAAGACAGAAAATCAGAAGAGAGTATAATAGGTAAGAGAAGAGGATGATCTCTGAAAATCAGTTTTAGGTTAACTAAACTGTTCATTGGAATCAATTGTAATATTTTCTTTGGGTGTCTTTATATGATGATCTCAGTACAGTGAAAAACAAACAATAAATGCTCATAGTGTAATTTTGGATGGTCATCCTTAATACCTTTCTTTGTAAACTGTCAAGGGTTTTCTTCAAGTCTATTTCTATCAAGAACAGATAGTTTAGTTTAACTCTTTCACTCAGCAATTCCCTATTTATCATTTCTTTAGTGAAATGGCTTCAGATTGATTAAGCTTCTTTCCTTCTCTCTAAATGTGTTAATGGATCAAATTAAATAAGAATACAATTGTTTAGAAGTTTGATGATCTGTCTGAAACAGCCTGTCTCTATCTCTCTCTGTTTCTGTCTCTGTCTCTGTCTCTCTCTCTCACGCGCGCGTATACACACACACACACACACACACACACACACACACACACCCTGATTTGAACCTTTGTTCACTGCTCTACACTACATTTCACCAATGCAACTTTTGTCATTTGCTTGGGAAAACATTATATATGAATTTTTCTCCACCTCCCTAAGAATGTTTCCAGACTCCAGAAAATAAATACTTATTAACACCTCCAAGTCTCTTGTTAATCTTGGAAGTTTCCCAATCCCCATTTCTTCAAATTTTTCACTACTCAGATTTCTCAAAATGCATACATCATTGGATATTTGTTTTTCATGCAAATTATTACTAAACTTGACCAAGATATAATTAAAAGCAAAAGTGGTGTGAATATATCAGCTCTGTTTACACTGAAAAAAAAAAAATAAAAGGACTAAATAGCAATTTTTAATGTCTTATAAATTCCAAACCCTAAAACAATGCATAAAATTTTGCAGTTATTGAAGAAAAAGGTGTTAACTCTGATAGAAGTCACCAAAATAGCTTTGTGAGACTAAACGGGATTCATTTAGGTCCCAAAGAAAAGCATGTAAAAGTTGATTTTTTTTAAGGTTCCCAGTTTGAGGAATCTGGTGATTGGGAAAATTCTGGGAGCATCAGGCTGGCTCCATCTCTGACCCAGACAAGTAGCTGGGGGAAGAGGAGCTGCTGGCTATCTGCAGATAACCTCCGCAGAGAGCTTTGAGAACGAGGTTCCTAGCCCAGCTCTCAATATGCAACTGGTTATTTACTTGTACGCGTTTAAAATCCATCCGACCTAATGTGGAAACTTTGGGAGTATGAGTGTGTGTGGGTGTGTGTGTGTGTGTTTGTGTGTGTGTGTGCACGCGCGCGCGCACCTGCCTGCCCATGGGGTAGGAGCCCTCTCCAATTGGGATTTTTTTCTCTACCCCCTTCCTCCCTTTTGCCTATCCCAGTGAAAGCTTTTGAGTCTGGAATCAAAGACATAAGCATGCATTGTGTTTTCATCCTGCAGACTTAAATAACATTCAAGAAACATTGTCAGAGAAACCTAATTCTCATTGACCAAACTGGCAAAAATCCTATACCAAGTTTTCAAAAAGAAAAGTATGTGCCCAAATTACATACGTTGCAACAAATACTCCATATCCAATTATGGCATTATGTAATATATATGCTCCGAATAGTCACTTTCAACATGCCAAAAAAAAGGGGCTTAAAAGATATTAAGTGGCATAAAACGCTGCACCGCAGAGAAAGCAGAAATGCATTTAAAGCACCGATGAAAATGGCGTGCGGTATAATTACCTCAAATTGCTGTTCGCTTGACACCCTGACACTAATTTTATTCCAACCACTGGGAAATAAATGTTTTAAAAGCACTGCTTTCCTGAACGCCTGAGCTAGCGGGGGCTCCCAGGTCCTTAAGGAAAGGAAAGGGTAAAGTTTCCAGCCCTCAAAAAGAATTAAATAATCCATTTAAAATAAGCGACTGTGTAGATCGACAGCCTTTAATGTCCAAATTTTTAACGCTTGCCCTGTACGTGGATTGATTTTTTTTTTTTTTTCTTCCTCAGCATTCCCTCACCAGATGGATTTTAGCTACTGCAGATCAGCAGAGGGTGTCAGATCTTTCAGAGTGCACCAGGCTGGAACGAGCCGAGCTTCTTAGCAACCCCCCCCCCCCCATTCTCGCGCTCTCTCCCTCCCTCCGACAACCCTCCCCACACACACACGTAATTCCGAAAGAGCAGAAGAAAGAGAAGGAGAACAAGAAAAGAGCTAGTAAGCCAGAGCGGGAGCACAGAAAAGAGGCTGAAGAGAAGGAAAGGGAAAGGATGGACAGCCCCAGAACGCAGCGATTGCGGAAATTTTCCAGCGCCATTGGTTGGGCAGCGTGAATCTTTCGGTCGGGCGTGATTTCAGCACCGGGGGGACTGGACAGCACCCCGGGGGGACTTCTGGGCAACCCTCAGCCACAGCGAGAACTCCGCCGGCAGCCTCGACCACAGAAGCCTGAGAAAGCCCTGCTTTGTATCAGAGAGGCAAGGTCAGTCCGACGCACAGCCATGCACGGGCAGTGCGCCTGTACTACGCTGCAAACCTGCTTGTTTCTCTAACATGCACTTGCTTGTAATTACTAGCATTGTTTCCTTTCTGATTGCTGAGGACCCCTAGACAAGATTTTGTAAGGGTGTGTTTTAATTTATATGTATATATATTTAACTTCTCTTGGCTATTTTTAAAGGGGTGAGGGGGTGTGGGGTGGATTTTTTTCTACTTTTTTTTTTTTTTTTTTTTTTTTTTTTTTGCTTGCCTTGCACTACGTGCTTGGATAGTTTGTGGATATAATTATTGACTGGCGTCTGGGCTATTGCAGTGCGGGGGGGGTTAGGGAGGAAGGAATCCACCCCCACCCCCCCAAACCCTTTTCTTCTCCTTCCCTGGGTTCGGACATTGGAGCACTAAATGAACTTGAATTGTGTCTGTGGCGAGCAGGATGGTTGCTGTTACTTTGTGATGAGATCGGGGATGAATTGCTCGCTTTAAAAATGCTGCTTTGGATTCTGTTGCTGGAGACGTCTCTTTGTTTTGCCGCTGGAAACGTTACAGGGGACGTTTGCAAAGAGAAGATCTGTTCCTGCAATGAGATAGAAGGGGACCTACACGTAGACTGTGAAAAAAAGGGCTTTACAAGTCTGCAGCGATTCACCGCCCCGACTTCCCAGTTTTACCATTTATTTCTGCACGGCAATTCCCTCACTCGACTTTTCCCTAATGAGTTCGCTAACTTTTATAATGCGGTTAGTTTGCATATGGAAAACAATGGCTTGCATGAAATCGTTCCGGGGGCTTTCCTGGGGCTGCAGCTGGTGAAACGGCTGCACATCAACAACAACAAGATCAAGTCTTTTCGAAAGCAGACTTTTTTGGGGCTGGACGATCTGGAATACCTCCAGGCTGATTTCAATTTATTACGGGATATAGACCCGGGGGCCTTCCAGGACTTGAACAAGCTGGAGGTCCTCATTTTAAATGACAATCTCATCAGCACCCTACCTGCCAATGTGTTCCAGTATGTGCCCATCACCCACCTCGACCTCCGGGGGAACAGGCTGAAAACGCTGCCCTATGAGGAGGTCTTGGAGCAAATCCCTGGCATTGCTGAGATCCTGCTAGAGGATAACCCGTGGGACTGCACCTGTGATCTACTTTCCCTGAAAGAATGGCTGGAAAACATTCCCAAAAATGCCCTGATCGGTCGAGTGGTCTGTGAAGCCCCCACCAGACTGCAGGGCAAAGACCTCAATGAGACCACAGAACAGGACTTGTGTCCTTTGAAAAACCGAGTGGATTCTAGTCTCCCTGCGCCCCCAGCCCAAGAAGAGACCTTCGCTCCTGGCCCCCTGCCAACTCCTTTCAAGACAAACGGGCAAGAGGACCATGCCACCCCAGGGTCTGCTCCAAACGGAGGTACAAAGATCCCAGGCAACTGGCAGATCAAAATCAGACCCACGCCAGCGATAGCGACTGGGAGCGCCAGAAACAAACCCCCAGTCAACGGCTTGCCCTGCCCCGGGGGCTGCAGCTGCGATCACATCCCGGGGTCGGGTCTAAAGATGAACTGCAACAACCGGAACGTGAGCAGTTTGGCTGATTTGAAGCCCAAGCTCTCCAACGTGCAGGAGCTTTTCCTGAGAGATAACAAGATCCACAGCATCCGGAAGTCGCACTTTGTGGATTACAAGAACCTCGTTTTGTTGGATCTGGGCAACAATAATATCGCCACGGTGGAAAATAACACTTTCAAGAACCTCCTGGACCTCAGGTGGCTGTACATGGATAGCAACTATCTGGACACGCTGTCCCGGGAGAAATTTTCTGGACTGCAGAACCTAGAGTACCTGAACGTGGAGTACAATGCAATCCAGCTTATTCTCCCCGGCACTTTCAACGCCATGCCCAAACTGAGGATCCTCATCCTCAACAACAACTTGCTGAGGTCCCTGCCCGTGGACGTTTTCGCGGGGGTCTCGCTGTCTAAGCTCAGCCTGCACAACAATTACTTCATGTACCTCCCGGTGGCAGGGGTGCTGGATCAGTTAACCTCCATCATCCAGATAGACCTTCACGGGAACCCCTGGGAGTGCTCCTGTACCATTGTGCCTTTCAAGCAATGGGCAGAACGCCTGGGCTCCGAAGTGCTGATGAGCGACCTCAAGTGCGAGACGCCCGTGAACTTCTTCAGGAAGGATTTCATGCTCCTCTCCAATGACGAGATCTGCCCCCAGCTGTACGCCAGGATCTCGCCCACGTTAACTTCGCACAGTAAAAACAGCACTGGGTTGGCGGAGACCGGGACGCATTCCAACTCTTACCTAGACACCAGCAGGGTGTCCATCTCCGTGTTGGTCCCGGGACTGCTGCTGGTGTTCGTCACCTCCGCCTTCACAGTTGTGGGCATGCTCGTGTTTATCCTGAGGAACCGAAAGCGGTCCAAGAGGAGGGATGCCAACTCCTCGGCGTCCGAAATTAATTCACTACAGACAGTCTGTGACTCTTCCTACTGGCACAATGGGCCTTACAACACGGACGGGGCCCATAGAGTGTACGACTGTGGCTCTCACTCGCTCTCAGACTAAGTCGCCAACCCTGAAAGGGGAGGGGAGCCCGGAGGCGACGCGCCCTCCTCCCCTGCCCGCAGCGCCCAGGGGCTTCGGGAGCGCTGACCCAAATCTAAGCGCGCCCCAAGTCTTGACAGACATAAGTAAATAAGTAACTGTGAACTCGCTCAGCCGAGAGGGGCTGACCCCTTCGCGGTCTTCTTAAACAAAGAGCAGACTGTGGCGGCAGGGAGAGCGCAACTTGCTTGCGCATGGCTCTGAGCTCCTTTGACTGAAAGCCCAGCCCGGGCCAGGCCAGAAGAATCCACAGTGCTCTGAGCTTGGGCGAAAGGACCTGTGGGCTTGGCCCCCGCGGTTCGATAGATAAATACATATATCCACATCTATATAGAGAGATAGATATCTATTTTTCCCCTGTGGAGAGCCGGGCGATGGCTCCCTGTTGGCTACGCAGGGATGGGCAGTTGCACGAAGGCATGAATGTATTGTAAATAAGTAACTGACTTCTGACAACAAAACAGAAACACAAAGTGCTGCATGGCTCGCATGGAACCCACGCGCTCCAGGGACTCCGTCCGCCCCTCCCCTCCGCGACTGGAGATGCCTCTCCTCCTCACGCCCTCTTACCTGATAAGTCCCGTCGTAGAAAACTTTCTATCAACAAAATGCAGTATAAACAGAAAGTGCCATTTCGCCATTATTTGTGATTGGTAGGCAGTTCAGATCGTATGTTTACTGTGAAAACAAAATGTTAAGGTTTTATTTAAGACATTTGCATGGCTAGTCATCAGTCCATTTTATGAGTTAACAATGTATTTTGTTGAGGGAAGTTTTTAGGGGTTGCTTTTGGTTCTTTTATTTTGATGGTGATTTTTTTTTTGAGGGGGAATATTTTTCTATACATATCCAATAATGCCTTCCATCTGAATGTAAAATAAGTACCCATGGTTTCTATTATAGCACCAGTGTAATTATTTAAAAAAAAAAGATTTTGAGGCAGTTAAGCATGACCAATTAATGTCATTCTAGTGCTTAGGCTGCGACCTTATGGTAGAAATTCTGTGCTGGTATAAATCTTACTTATAAAGTAGGAAAAAAAAAAAGAACCAAGGAAGCAAGCACGTGAAACTTACTAATTCTATTCGAGGATTTTATAATGGCATATTTTTTCAGTATTAAAGTGAAAATGTTTTCAAATCTGGGTCCTTACATTTTTCCAGCTTTCTTTTTGCAACTGGTTAAGTGGCTGTGCAAGTGAAAGGGATGGGAGGGGAGGGGCGCGGGGGGGGGTCTCTCTGACGCTACCTTAACGTTAGCTCTTTCTCTCTAGTCGCCTTAGCCAGCCTTTTACCTTTTTCAAAGCTCCTCTTCCCTCAGCCCCTCTGCCCTGCTTAGACTTCACAGGCTTCCCTAGTGTAAAGTAAGGTCTTCCCCCACCACACTCCCTCCCTTTCTCCCCCTCTCCTGATGCGGCAGTGAATCCCTTTTATTAATACTGGAAATACCTCACTGCTGCTTTTGTTGGTGCTGCCCACACTGCAGATATATTAAGGATGTTAGAAGAGATTTGATTTAATTGACTCTTCCTGGATCGGTTTCATTAAACTGTGGAGATTTCATTGGTCAGCACTGCCTGATGAAAGACACCCCTAATGACAGGCATTTGAGATGCTGCTGGCATTTTGAATTCAACATCTGCTGAAAACGGTAAAACTAATTAGTGCCCACCCACCCTTCCCGCCCCAGCAACTGCATATTGAAATTTGCTGAAGTCCTTATCTTTACAGAAATCAATCATTACCCTAAAGAAGTGTTTTTCTCCCATCATCCGGATTTCTGGATGTGTCCCAGCAATGAACAAGAAAAGCATTGAATTATTTGAGTTTTATGAACCAGTGTAATACTGGCCTCAATCATAATCCTCTGAGGTTTTAAGCAAGTCTATTTTTACCAGCAGTTAGGCTATGAAATCACATGTTTGAAAAGGGTCATCATTTCACCACACATCCCACATTGAGAAGTATGTCAAAAGACTGCAGGACGTTCACACACACACACACACACACACACACACACACACACACACACACTTATGTATGTTGGGATTATAAATGAGGTAATAAAAGCCCCTGGAGCAGTCTTAAGTAGATTTGTCATCTAGAACTCATATTTTAAAAAGAGTAATTTCCCAGAACATGGATATTCTGGAGTATGTATTATTTATTTTAGCACTTTTAAAATAAAAATCTTTATTATAAACCACTACACCTTCTAAAACTATTCATCATTTTCTCTGTTCATTATTTTGTTGTGGACTGCATTTCATGATGGCACAATTGTGATCTTGTAGGCTGTGATAAGTATTATTGGTTTTTTTTATTTATGTTTCATATGAAGTGTTTTAATACTTACTGAAAGATCAACTGAGTTTCTGGTTGATGGAAAAATGCAGCAGGGGGAGATTATATATTCAATAATATTATAACCTCAAGAAGAAAAAGAAAAGATAGCAGATATGGAGACAAGTGTTTATTGGAAGGTGAACTTTGGTGAGAGATATTTAGTGAGGCATGGTGGTTCATTTTTAAAAGTGAGCCTCTTCTACATGAGGAACCTAGAACATCTCATAGAAGCCTTGCACAGGAAGAATAACTTTTTCATCTGGTTGGAAAGAAATTGCTATGTAGCAAACAGGATCAAAGGGGCAAAATCAGTTTTATGATAGGAGCTGCAATTTTGAATAATCATTGTGTACTAAGCATGTGCAGAGCAGCCTAAATAGTTGTTTAACCTTTAGAACCACAAGATAATTTACTAAAATACTGTTATTCCATTGTATAGATGAGAAAACTGAGGCTAAGGAAGAGTGTGCAATAATGCACGTCTTACATGATAAAGAAGAAAGTGGCACTTAAACCTTATCCCTTCATAATTTAAAACCTACTTTTTATGATAAATCAATACCTCACAGAAGTCTATTTAAAAAAAATCAAAGTTATAAAAATATTACTGTAGACACCAAATTAGGGACCTGGATTGTTATCTTTCCAGCCAAGTAAGAATTGGTTGCTCTTCATTGTTTCAATGTGTCTTACAGAAAAGAAACTTGTTCTTACAGTGGTGCTAACTCTAGTGTGTTCTTTGAGTGTAAAACTAAACACATATGAAAATTGATGAATATGGTACACGAAATCATGAAAATCATTCATTTCCTTTCTATGTTCAAACCATTATCTCCAAATTACACACACACACACACACACACACACACACACACACACACACACATGCACATTAACTGTAAAACAAGGGCCATCAGATTATTTCAATAAATTATAATAAATGTTTAAAATTCATACAGAAATTATACCCAATGATTTCATGTAGAATAGCATGTGTTATTTAGACCTGAACTATCTCATTCATTTTGATAAATAACTCTCTCTCACACTTGACAGATATAAATTTTATTAACTTTTATATAATTGTTTAGTGTACCCAACAAGAATGGATGTGATCTCACCATATATCTTCACTAAAAAATTGTGAGCATCATTTGTTTTCTGCTTTTATGTAAGATTCACAAAAATTCTCATGTGTGTTAGTTGAGATATCTTGTTCTCAGTCAAATCATTTCAAAATTCATCAAAAAAGATAACAGGATTTTAGTTGTACCTAATGGGAAAGTTGAAGAAACAAAACAAGTATCTTTAAAGAAAGCAGTGGCTTCTGTGAATACTGATATAACCAAGATCATTCTAGAAATTATGTTGTTGATATAAATGTGTATTTTTTAACTGTCAAAAACAGATATCATTGACTTAACATTAGTACATCAAGATCCTTTTAAAACAATATTTATATTTGGTGTTGTTAATGTGTTGAAATTATATTGGTGACTCCAAGTACAGTTTGTTAATTTAGCTTGTTTGGTATCTATTAAGTGTTATTTCCTACATGCAGAATGATGGATGAGTTAGGAGTGAACATAAAAGTGTGTTGTCTCTGTTGGTAAGAATATAAAGTACGGTGGTTTTTAATTCAATATTCTTCCAGATAATTATTTTATTTTTGCATGTTTATTTGAAGAAAATGAAAACAGAAGAAAATGTGCCAAAAATTTTTACACTTATTAATTTTTACCCTTGTTGAATCTTCATAATGGTGGACTTTTGATATCAACTAAGATAAGGTAAAAGCTAACTCATTTTAAAAGTTAATTATTTAAAATGATATATTCCAAAACTAAAAAGAAGCAAGTTGAATAAGTTTTATATAATTCCCTGGCACTTGCTTTCATCCAGAGTACTGCTAAAATGGTATTTTCAAAAGTTACACACAGGATGTGAAGAACTTTCTGGTGTTGAAATGTTATTCATTGATTCATGAAAGCACCTACCACAAATACAGAAATTCTAAAACATAAACTTGTATTGACTTTGCTCTAACCTATCAAAATCTGAATTGCTTTCAGAAAAAATGAAAAATTAACTGCTGACAGATTAAATATCTAAGAACTATAATTTTGAAATAAAAGGCCACTGAAGAAATCATCTTAGTCTTCAAATCTTCAAAGCCCAGTGTGACCCTTTTCCCTCAGTTGGCTGGAAATTTTGGGTTATTGGTTTAGACCTTACTTCTCCAATTATTTAGTCTTTTCCCACTTACTTTCTAAATATATATTTTATTGCACTATTGAAACATAATTATGTTTCCTACTTGAACACTGCATAAAGCTTACTAGAGATCTGTTTAGCAGTTAAAAGAAATTTGAATGTCTTAGACCTACATATTCTATTAGCACCATTAACTTGGCAAGTACTTCACAGGAAATAAAGACATTCTTTACTATATTGGAGGTTTGGCTTCAGGACCCCCACACCAAAACTAAAATCCATAAATGCTCAATCCTCTTATAAAAATGTCATAGGATTTGAATATTAGCTAGATATATCCTCTCATACAGTAATATCTACATTATTGTTGAAACCAAATGCAATGTAACTGTTACGTAAATTGTTGTCATAACTATATTGTTTAGGAAACCATGACAAGTAACTTCTGTTTGACTCTGGCTCTGACTATATATATGGCTACCTGACCTTGAACTCTTGCCCTCTAGTTGCCTTGACCTCCCAGTAGTTGTGACTTAAAGCCTTTACTGCCAGTGCTGGACAGATGCAAGTTTAGAAAAAGTATGTTTCAGTCTATAATTGGTTGTATCTATCTGTGTGAAATCTGTATATGTACATACTTATAGCCAATTGTATTTTAGAAAATTTGTTAGGAAAAGAAAATTAGACAGTTCTAACAAATCTCAAGAAATCTATGACCCATGAGAGGGAGATATATATGTAATTATAATGATAAAAGAACAGTGTCTGATTGGCAATGCTCACAGAATACTGATAGAACCTTTTGTGTTTTTTTTCTTTTAAGTAATTTGGGTGTGTGACCATGTGGAAAAGTAAAGTCTTAAACTTTTTCAGCAATTGTGCAAAATGCTGAAAATCTTAAAAAGTGTTTTAAATACAAGAGGTGCTTTAACTAATTTGCTAACTTTTTCCCATTTCTTTATTTTTCCTTAAATGAAAATATAATTATGATATATATATATATATATAAATATAAATATGATATCGTCTAACTGCTATTTTTGACTAATGATTTTAAAAAGAAACAAACTATCTTCTATCTCAATAAGTGAATGACTGAGAAATGTTCAATTTCAGTTGTTTGAGAAACAAAATGTTAGTTTAGAAAAGTTAACAAACTGTTTTGTGATATAAGTTTAGAAATAATTGTCGGTGGACACATCTTTGATTTGTGTAATATCTATGTATAAGTTATATCAAAGAGGCTTTGATATAATACATGTACTTTTATAAATTTATTATAAAGCTAAAAATTCCCTCACTGTTTTCTTTTCAGTGATATGTAATAGTTAATTAGAGTAACATTCACATGATCACATCCACAGGTGTAATAGAGAGCAGTAAGCCAAGCCCTGCATTTACCAAGTCCTGCATCTCCCTTTGCCTGTAACTTTCCTTTGCCTGTAGTTCCATTTCTTTTCTTGGCAGAATGGTACAGGAAGGAAATATGCTTGGCTGCAGTATATCGATAGAAAATGTCAATATATAGTGAGAAATGGAAGTGCCTCAAATACAAATGATAAATAACCACTCTTTCACATTATTCAAGAAGTAGTCCCTGTCTCCCAGAAAGAGAGAAAAAGTGAAAAAAAAAAAAAAGCTGCTATTACCAGAAACAGCCAAGGCTCTGTCCAGACTCTGTGACATTTATTCTTTCTCCTTTGTATTTTGATATTCTGTTTCACATTTCCAAGACATTTATGAAATGCACATTTTTTATGATGGTAATGTGATTTGAGTCATATTAAATGAGCATTCATAGCATTTTTTGCTACCTCCATGAAAATAGGATTACCAACTAATGGAGGAATTTCAATGGTACCATTACTTACATATATCATACCTACATATTGTCCAAGTACTTTTATTTATTAAAATAACTGATTTATGTAAATAAAACAATCCTGCATGATTAAATAATTATATGTAATTTTTTGGTAAGAGGAATGAAATTATACTATATAAAATTAGGTGCTGATTTCTGGTCATTTAGATAAATTTTGTAGCTAATTTGATGCAAAAGTGAAACCAATTAGCTTTACTTCATTGGGTGTTTTTCTCATTACTACATGGTGTGGTACAAGTGATTGAGCATAACTTTTTCATCAGTGGTTCTGAAATAAATGAGTGTCTCAAGTTTTTAGATCATAGATGTAAATTGGTTTAACTAGTTATCAGATTACTCCAAAGGGATTAAAATTACTGAAGGAAAGAGTTTATTGCTGTTATTCCCTCTGCTTCTTGAATGACTAAATGTTTTCTGGTGTCCCAAAATATGCTTTAATGAGAAAGATAACCCTTAATTTTTCACAAATGTTAAACTTTTTCATTTTTCAGCAGGAATTTCTTTGGAGGACTTTTGTCTTTTTACCATAACTGTCAGTTCTGTAACAATCAGATTTCTTATTTCTGGTGGTGTTTCCAATAGGTAAACATCAGTATAGGACAAGCAGGTATTCCAGGAGGGCATTACTTCTTGGAATTTTATTTTATGAGCAATGAGCCTTGAAACTAACAGTTGTACACAGCGATACCCTGTAAGAATTAAATTATATGGGATGTCACATAACTGTTTTCATTCAAGATGTATAAGAAAACAGGAAAAAG